GAGATGACTAGCCTGGAGGAGGACGACGAATTTGATAATATGCGGACTCCAGCGGACACGTTCGGAGTTTTGGAATGATGCTTGCGTGAGTCACTGATGGTGCTACAAGATATCATCCCCACTGTTGCTGTTACGGTCTCAGTCTCAACCATCCGCTATCAACTCCATTGGGACTTTGTGATGAATGTTTCTTCCGAAGAGTCTTCTCGCTTGAAGCGGATTCAATCTTAGCAGTTTCGTATCATTGTATTGCGTCATAGTGAGTCACATGAAGACGGCTCCGATCCCAGTAGAGTCTAGCTGCAGATCATGAATCTTGATCATGATCACACTTCTTAAGTTCGACAGAATGAGCTAGCGATGATCCTACTTAGTCTCGATCGCCGAGGTTTTGTCTCGGCTTTCGAGTAACCTCTATGCCCTACCTAGTTCCCCCTTGAAGATGCGGTGTTCGTGCGCTACAGAGTATGTCTATTCTGCTTCTGCAGGTCTCAATCGGAATGGGATCGAAAATGGTCAGGTTCAATGTCGAAGCTGCGTGCGATGCGGTGGACGTTAAGGTAACCAACACGGAGGAGAGGTAATCCAGACCATCGTTTATCATAGTTGGATGAGTCGCTCCGATAGCATAACATGAGACGATTGATGCGACCCTTTGGAAAGAATATTTGGGCAGAGTATCTCGTGGAGGCACAGCAGCTCCATTTCAGCGTAGCACCTGCAGAGGCTCCATTGGCAATCGACCAGAGTCTGTCTTCCGAACGAGTTGAGGCTATGTCGGCAGCAGAAAGGCACGCCATGTGTGAGGCTGAGAAAATAAAAGGCAATGAGAGCTTCGCCTCGGGAGACTTGGATGAAGCAGAGGTGAGTTATGTGGACTGGCTGGACGGCATTCGATCCCGTTGTCATCCAGTTGCATTATACGAGGGCCCTCCGTCTCCGCTCGGATGTATCAGTACTATGGTCCAATAGAGCCTTGGTGCGGCTAAAGCTTCGCCGCCCTCGAGAAGGGCTAGAGGATGCTCAGAGACCCATCGCGTTGGATCCTAAGGATGTGAAGGTGTGGCTAGGACACGGTTCGCGTCGCGTGTGATACGGTGCCTGAGTTCCCTCGGACTTAGGCCTTTCATCGACGTGGTAAAGCTCGCGCGGAGTTGGCTTACCTCGAGGAAGCAGTGAAAGACTTTCAGACAGCTCTCAAGTGAGCCAATGATGAAACGCTTGCTGTCCTCGGTAGACGGGAACGAG